CATGTTAAAACTATACAGAGTTTCCTCTTCTGGCCATGATGTAGTTAGTAAGAGTGGACTTACTGAATTCATGTAAAAAACTATAAAATTAGAGAGAACAGGAGCACCTACCTGGGTGGCTCAGTTGGTTGAGCGTCCAACTTTGGCTCAGGTCATAGTCTGATGGTTCATGAGTTCAAGCCCCATGTTGGGCTCTGTGCTGACTGCATGAAGCCTGCTTGGGATTCTCTGTCCCCCCTCTTTCCACCCCTCCCCCACTCATGCGCGCGCTCTCTCTCTCTCTCTCTCTCAAAAATAAATAAACATTAAAAAAAAAAACTAGACAACATATGAAAAATGTTTTCAGACTGGAGACGACAGGCAGTACAGACCTGTGATCCCTGAGAAAAAGGCACCTTTTATGACAGTGCAGGGGAGGAAGAGTCCATACAGACCATAGCAGGTTCTCTAAGATGAGGAGACAGACATTTGAGTTCAAGGAGGCAGAGGCAGCTGGGTTTGGGTGGCAGAATCCTAGGAAGCCAGAAGCTACACAGAGAAAATCTCTAGAAATTTCCATAAAGCATCCTCTTGAGTCTGTTCCTAATAGAATCAATGCCAGGCAAAGAACGAACAGGAAACAGTAAGCTGAATAGTTCTCAGCGTTCACACAGAGCTGGGAGATGTTCACGTTGAAATCTGAGGACTCTGACCTGAGGCATTCAGCAGAACTCCTAGAAGTACAATAACTAGCCTTAGGGGACATCAACATTTGCTCAAACTTTCAGGCCAAAGTCACACTCTTTTGGGGGTGACTCATCTTTACAAAGCTTCAAAACAAACCTTGAAAGAGTCAAGCTGATCAGAAAATAATTTGAACTGTCTTAAAGGAAAAAAATATATTTTTATTCTTGTAAAATATATATAACATTTAAATTTTTAATCACTTTTAAAAATAAAAATTTTTTTCCCATTTTAAAATTTATTTTATATATATAGAGAGAGTGAGAGCAGGGGAGAAGGGCAGAGGGAGAGAGAGAATCCCAAGCAGGCTCCACGTTCAGCACAGAGCCTGATGCAGGGCTCGATCCCACGGTCCTGGGATCATGACCTGAGCTGAAATCAAGAGTCGGGCACTCAACTGACTCAGCCACTCAGGTGCCCCTAGCTTTTTAATCATTTTTAAGTGGCATTAAGTACATTCACATTGTCTGCAACTATCACCACTGGCCTTCTTCCCAAGCTGAAACTCTGTCCCCATTAAACATCAACTCTCCATTTCCCCCTCCCCTCAGCCCTTCTACTATCTGTCTCTATGAGTTTGACTACGTACTTCACAAAAGTGGAATCATACAATGTTTGTCCTTGCGTGTCAGGCCTTTTTAACTTAGCATAATGTCCACAAGGTTTTCCCATGTTGTAGCATTTGTCAACATTTTCTTCCTATTTAAGGCTGAAAAATATTCTATTGTATGGATACACCACAATTTGCTTATCCACTCCTCTGCCCAGGAAACTTGGCTTGCTTTTGCCTTTTGGCTGTTGTGAATAAGGCTATTACGAACATGGGTGTACAAATATCTGTTTGAACCACTGATTTAATTTCTTTGGGGTATTTACAGAAGACGGATTTCTGGATCATATGGTTCCAATGGTTTTAACAATTTTTTTTTCAACGTTTATTTATTTTTGGGACAGAGAGAGACAGATCATGAACGGGGGAGGGGCAGAGAGAGAGGGAGACACAGAATCGGAAACAGGCTCCAGGCTCTGAGCCATCAGCCCAGAGCCCGACGTGGGGCTCGAACTCCCGGACCGCGAGATCGTGACCTGGCTGAAGTCGGACGCTTAACCGACTGCGCCACCCAGGCGCCCCAGTTCCAATGGTTTTAAAGGAAAACAACAGGGGTGCTGGGTGGCTCAGTCAGTTAGACATCCAACTTCGTCTCAGGTCATGATATCATGGTTCGTGGGTTCAAGCCCCACATTGGGCTCTGTGCTGACAGCTCAGAGCCTGGAGCCTGCTTTGGATTCTGTGTCTCCCTCTCTCTCTGCCCTGCCCTGGCTCATGCTCTGTCTCTCCCTCTCTCTCTCTCAAAAAATAAATAAACATTTTTTTTAAAAAGGAAAACAACAAACTCTGACACTCAATGTAAAATTTATAATGTCTAGCATCCGATAAAAAATTAATAGGTATGTAAAGAAGCAGGAAAATGTAATCCAAAACCAGGAAAATAATCAGTCAATAGAAACAGATCCAGAAATGACAGACATTATGGGTTGGGAGACAAGGACTTTAAAATAATTATGAATATGCTCAAAGACTTAAAAGAACATAAATGCAATAACAGAAAAATACAAGGTAATAAAAAGAAAAAGAGAACTTCTAGAGATAAAAACAACGACAATATGTGCAAGGATCAGTGAGCTTAAAGAGTAGCAATAGAAACTACTGCTTGTTAAGACCTACAGTTAGTAATCTCGCCACTGAAGTAGTCTCTGTCTCAAGCACTGGGACATTGAAAGTTCTTCTGTTCCTTTCCCAGTATTTTAGTACAGTTCTTTGGCCTCCTGATCCATGTAGCTTCAGCTGTCAGCAAACATCCTGAGAGGGGAAACTACTCCTGAATTTGAGTCTTCCAAGTCTCCGATGTCCTTCCTTTAGCACAGCATAATTTTTCAAAAGCTCAACTGGTTTTTCCTGTATGAGATCAGCTGCCCTTTGCCTGGACCAAGCCTTAAATACTTTGAATAATGTTTTAATGTGTAATATTTGAAATAAACAGTGCCTGGTACATTATAAGCCCTCAACGAATATTAACTGAATGAATGAATTTCATTGTATTTCCTGATTCTCTTGTCTCTTGGAAGTTCAAACTGCTACAACACTGAGTCAATGAATATGTGTTCATCTAAAGATGTTTAGAATACTGAAGGTTTTTCTCCCTAATGCTTTAGGAACATTTACTGTGGCCAGGCATTGTTATAAGCACCTTACATATATTAACTCATTCAATACAGTAGAGAACAAGCAAAAAGTGGCCCCCCTTTATCTGTATTCCCCCCTTACCTGTGGAGGGATATGTTCTAAGACCCTCAGGTGATGCCTGAAAGGTGTGGATGGTACCAAACCTTATATATACTGTGTTTTTTCCTATACATACATATCTATGATAAAGTTTCACTTGTAAATTAGGTATGGTAAGAGATTAACAACAACAATAAAATAGGACAAATAGAATAAGTAATCAGTCATGTGAATGTGGTCTCTCTAAAAATATCTCATTGTACTGTACTCACCCTTCTTGTGATGATGTGAGATGATAAAATGCTTCTATGATGAGATAAAGTGAGGGGTATGATGTAGGCATTGTGAGGCAGCGTTAGGCTACTATCTACCTTCTCAGGATATGTCAGAAGGATCGTCTGCTTCTGGACCATGATTGACTCAGGGAGCTGAAAATGAGGAGAACAAAACAGAGGATAAGGGGGTACTACTACTCAGAACAACCCTATAAAATTCATGGTACTAATCTCTTCATTTTACATGCATGGAAAGTAACATACAGAGGAGTTATCTAATTTGTCCCTGGTCAAACAACTCGTATGATACTGGTAAAACAAACACCCTGTCCCTCTCTCTCTCTCTCCCCCCTCTCTCTAATGTTTTGGCCCATGAAAATCAAGACTTAAAGGCAGGATTTCACACAATACCTCAAAGAGTGTTTTTTTTTTTTTTAACTGTTAATTTCTTTTTCTTTACTAAACATAGAATCCTATCAAAGATTAGTCCTACTATCAATTACAACTAATTGCCACTGTTAACTAGTCCTATGTTGCTTTGTTTAAATAGCATTCATGTAACAGAAAAGTAAATTCTGAATAACATAATTTCAGATAAATACCTATCTTCATATTTTTATGTTACAGCAATAACACAGATATGCATAATAATTCATTATATTCAACATACTATGTTATTCGTCTGGTAGGACTGTGTCCAGGGTTGGCTCTTTGAAAAGGTGGTCACTCTAGTGGCACCTGGGTGGGTCAGATGGTTGCGCAACCGACTTTGTCTCAGGTCATGATCTCACGGTCTGTGGGTTCAAGCCCTGTGTTGGGCTCTGTGCTGACAGCTCGGAGCCAGCTTTGGATTCCGTGTTTCCCTCTTTCTCTGCTCCTCCCCTGCTCACGCTCTGCCAAAAATAAATATTTTTAAAAAAACAAATTAAAAGGTGGTCACTCTACATTACACTCACAAGGGGAGCTTTTTAAAAATACACAATTTGAGGGCGCCCCAAAGGCTCAGTTAAACCTGGGACTCTTGATTTCAGCTCGGGTCACGGTCTCACAGTTTATGGAGCCTGGCATCTGGCTCTGCACTGACAGCATTAAGCCTGCTTGGGATTCTCTCTCCTTCTCTCTCTGCCCTTCCCCCCCTCAAAATAAATGTATAAAACATTTTTTAAAAACCCACGCAATTGCACAAGGGCCCATCTTAACGCATTCTAGTTCAACTGGTGTGGGGGGGGAAGGTATCGCCGTTAGAGTTTTCAAAGCCTCATGGTGATTCTTGTTAGAGATTCCGAACTGCTTGGCTGGGCGGGAACCGGCCGGGCGGGGCCTGAAAGTCACGTGCCCCAACCGGGACCCTCTGCGGCAGTTGATTGGCCTCGACCAGGGGTTCGTGAGACGCAGGCCCCTTCTCTATTAAACGGACCAGAGAGTTGCGAAGCCTCCGAGCTTCCTAGAAGGTACGCTGGCCGAGAAGCTGGGCTCCCCGCGCAGGAATAAGGGTCGGCGAGTGGCGCGGGCTTCTTCCGCATTCGCGCCCTCAGGTAGGGGGTTAGCGGAGGGGCGGCGACCTGTCACGGGTCTTGACCCGAACCTGGAGAGGGAAGCCCAGCCATGGGGGCCGCCGCAGGTGGACACTGAGGTCTTCCTGGAGGAGATGGCACCGCGGAGGGTCGGAAGCAGGTCTAGGAAGAGAGGAGCTCGTGTGATGGGACGGGTGGGTGCGGCGGCAGAGCCACGGTGTCCCCTCATCGGAAGGTGACAGGGCTCGAGAGACAGTCCTCACCCCCCGCCTTCGGGGCAGGTCGCAGGGACTTAAGGGAGCGTCTTCCTGAAGATGTCAACTTGTGAATATTTTCCGTGGCGTCGGGTCTTCAACATTAAGGAGGAACAAGTCCGATGAATGAACGGCTGGTTAATAGTGTGGTTCGGTTCGGTTTGGTTTGGTTAGGTTATAGACGGAAAGGAGATGTGATCGAACGTTTCCAGAGTTCACATTGTTGCGAAGTGGCGTTTTAGATTCTGACTTCCAATGCACGGTAGACGGGATAGTTAGGTAATGAGAGGGTTGAGGTCCCTTCCCCAGTCTTGAAGCCATAGATCAGGACATTTCTTTGGAGAGCCTCCATGCTTAAAAGGCAGAGCAGAGGATCTTCCAAGCAGTGTTTTTAGGGTACGTGAATGGTGCGAGGGATGCTCTTAAAAACGCACTTAGAGAAAGCAGCGTTCACCAGTGGCCAGAGAAGCACAAAAAAAAAAACAAAAAAAAAAAAAAAAAAAAACAATGAAAAAAATCACCTGGATCCCAGTAACTATTGTTACTACTGTAACAATTGTGGAGGGCCACAATTTGGATGTACCCTAGGCCGACCACCCATGGCTGTGGAATCAAAACTTGAACTGCCCTAATTTCCCCAAAGTGCAGACTCTCCTGCAGAACTTAAGCTTTCTTCATGTCAGGGTGACTTGTAGCTTCCTAGCGCGTCAGCTGCAGACCAGTCAACTTGTACAGTGCTTCTATTCTAAAATAGGGTTGTAAGTTTCTAGTAAACGATAGAAAACAAAGCTACTTCCTCATCTCCTGTGTAGGGGGCAGAAAAATAACTGTCTTTCTCAGTTCTTAGCTGAGACTCCTGCAATAAAAGATTAAGAAACAGACAAGTCTATTTACATGTATATTTCATGTATGTGTGGGAAATACCCACGGAAAAATGAGTAACTCCTGGGGTGGCTTAGAATTCAGGCCTAAATACCATCTTTTTTTTTTTTTTTTTAAGTTTATTTATTTTTGAGAGAGAGAGGGAGACAGAGAATCCCAAGTAGGCTCCTCACTGTCAGCACAGAGCTGGACACGGGGCTCGAACTCACTAAACCGTGAGATCATGACCTGAGCCGAAATCGAGTCTGACGCTTAACTGACGGAGCCACCCAGGCACCCCTAAATACCATCTTAATAGGGAAAGGGGAGAGAGGTTGTAGGCCTCTTAGAGGAGAGTAAATGCTTTTTAGGAAAGATGAACGGGCCTGTAGAAGAATAGACAGAAGGTCCAATAGTTTATGACAAAGTTTGTCTGGGTGTTGTGTCAACATCTAGTCTCCTCTCCTGTGACACAAGTCTATCTTCCCTGGTTGGTGAAACTCCCTGGGAGGGGAATTTATGACACTTGAGTTCTTTTTGGAGGATCTATCTTTAGGCATATGCAGGGGGTTCAGAGAAGGCCTTTCTCTGCGTTTGCCTCTTTTCAAGTGCCTGAAGCTCGAAATAATCATGGGGCAGCATCTTCTCTCCCAATCACGTGCTTTCTGAACTGAGCAGTGACTGCCGAGAGCTCTCAGCTTCTTCACGCTTTCGGCTTCGAAGTCTCCTTGTTTGTTTCTCCCTCAAGAAAATATTCATATCAAGTAAAGCTCTCTGAATATCCTTTTGACAGTGATTACCTCTGTGTATATAAAATGCAGCCTGAAATCTCCAACTGCCCTAACGTCATTTTATACTCTCTGAGCTGATTCTGTGTGAGATGCAGAAATAAATGAAGACCGCCCTCCCCACCCACCCCCCAAAATGCGAATGAGCAAAGGCTCTTCATTCAGAGCCTGCCACAGCAAGGGAGGGAGCCACTGTCACATGTTTAGCAGAGACTCAAGCAGAGACTCAAAGCAGGGGAAAGTGGAGTGAAAAAGGGGAAAGTTTGGATGTACCCACTTTGGAGGCTATTGGCTTGGGAAAGCTGGAGGTGGGTTAAGTAAGTAGAAACGGAACATCCTATGTGGTTGGGGAGGGCTTTCTCTGTTGGTCCTAAATTGGAAGAAGGAAGTAAAAATTCAGGATAATCTGGCAGTTATTGACCAAATCTGGATGTGGGGCTGATTGCTACACTGGCTGTGGTTTGGGTTCTGGGCTGGTTGCTACAGGTGGTGAGCCAGAGTTCTGTTTTGGTCTATGGTCTTGTCCCTTTGTGTATTTAGTCTTTCAGTGAGAACGTATTCTACAGAACATACTCTAGGGAGAAGGGGAGGGCGGGGCCCTTGGATAAAGCTTTGGAAATTGAGCTAACTTCAGAAATTCCTGAAAAGACTCTCCTAGCAGCTCCTTTCATGTTATCACCCATTTTGACACCAAACACCGTGACTGGGTATTAGCTGAGGTTTGTTGGCCTCGTTGGACTTCCCTGTCCCAGGGCTGCCTGGTGAGAGAGCTTTAAGTTCTGGCCGTACTCATGATCGTTTTTCTCCTTCAGTCTAGACTGATGGCTGCAATCCTGCCCCATCTCCAAGACCAGGATGTGGAAGCTGTATTCGTGACAGCTGGGTGGAAGGTGAGCTGGGCGGCTCCTCCCCTTCCTTAGGATACTCCCTGTGGCCCTGCAATGGCCTTGACTCCTTTGTTCACGTTGAGCCATCTTTATTAATTTGGGGACTTTTCTTTCTTGGAAGGTATGATGTAAAGAGCTTGAACTGTGGGCTCAGGTTCAAGTCCAGGCTTTGTTTTAGTTGTGTTACCTTCAGCAAGTCACATAAGCTCTCTGGGCCTCAGTTTACTTATCTGTAAATGGGACGATGACAGTTCTTATCACAAGGAGTTGTGAGTATTAAGTGAGACACTTATGAAAATAAGTAAGTAATACTTACCATAGTATCTGGTTATATTTTAAGCACTCTGCAAGCTTTAGCTACTGTTACCATAGTCATTGATTGTTTCTGTCAGTGAGGGATACTGTGTACCTACTGTGTACCAGATACTATCCTCTGTGCTGGGAGATAAACTCTACCTGAAGGAGTTTACAGTCTTTATGGAAAAGTAGATATGTAAACAGATTCTTGTAATATGGGGATAAATTCTGATCTGCCCGTGTTAAAGAGAACAAGAGCAGCTTAGTTACTGAATTTGTAACATTACGGAGGATGATTATGAAAAGTTGAGTTTAGGGGCATCTGGGTGGCTCAGTCAGTTAAGTGTCCAACTCTTGATTTGGGGTCAGATCATGATCTCATGGTTCCTGAGATCAAGCCCTGTGTCAGGCTCTGCGCTGACAGCTCAGAGCCTGGAGCCTGTTTCCCATTCTGGGTCTCCCTTTCTCTCTGCCCTTCCCCTGCTCATGCTCTGTCTCTCTGTCAAAAATAAACATTAAAAAAAAAATTTTTTTAAGTTGAGTTTAGGGGCACCTGGGTGGCTCAGTCAGTTAAGCATCTGGCTCTTGATTTCAGCTCAGGTCATGATCTTACGGTTTGTGAGATCGAGCCCTGCGTCAATCAGGCTCTGTGCTGTCCGTGCTTGACATTCTCTCTCTCTCTCTCTCTCTCTCTCTCTCTCTCTCTCTCTCTCTGCCCCTCCCCTGCTGTCACTGTCTCTCTCTCAAAACAAACATTAAAAGAAAGTGTTGAGTTTAAAGTTAAGGAGACGAGTTAGGATGCCATTGCAACAATTTTGAAAGGACAGCGGGACAAGGAGGGAACAAGGAGTCTGTAGCGCTCTTCTGACTTCATGGCCAGTGCGCCCTGACCGCCAGAGAGTCTGCAGCGCTCTTCCGTTCCTCCGCTCCGTTGCACAGCCCGTTCTCCCCTTCACAGGCAAACTCACATATTTGCATTTTAAGACTGAACTAAAAACTCTTCTCCGTGAAACCCTCCCTGACTTCCTACATTAGCATCACTCTGCCCTGCGATCCCAGGTGCGCGGACATAGGGAGCAGTCGCAGAGGCTTGATGAGGCTTAAACCAGATGGTGGCTTATGGAGTGACAGGAAGTGAGTGTGTAGTTTTCTTCTGGAAGCTGGTCCGGTAAGGGAAGGAGAGAGAGCCAAAACCAGAGGAGAAGGAAAGCACGGAACATCTTCTTAAAGACAGGCGAGATTTTGGCATTTTTGGTGGCGAAGGGGAAGGAGTTAGTGGAGAAGTAAGTGTTTAAGAAAAACATTCCTGTGTCTCTCTGCTTTCTCCTTTCATGCTTTCACTTCACTTCTGACATCAGACATGCTGGTGCTTTCCCCCACATATCGGGCACTTCCTTGACACCAGCCAGGTGCCCTGTAGTTTAGTTCAGTTTTGATGCTCTCTTCAAGGGTTAGCATCAGATGCCACAGGTTAAGGGCTCAGTCCCACAGGACTGCCCCTCCCCCACTTCCAACACCAGCCAATTGCAAGTCCAGGTTGTCACCTGTGCCTTGAGTGACTGACTATATATTTGGAGGTTCCCATGACTTCGCTCCTTGGGTTCGGTTAATTTGCTAGCGTGACTCAAAGAACTCAGGAAAACTGTTTACTTACTAGATTAGTGGTTTATTACAGCCTGTAACTCGCGAACAGCCACACAGAGGTGCATAGGGCAAGGTGTGGGGAAGGGGCACAGAGCTTCTGTGCTGAGTGTGCAGCACTCCCAGCACCAACTCAGGCTCGACAGCCCCGAAGCTCTCTGAACCCCATTCTCCTGGGTTTTTATGGAGACTCATTGTGTGGACTCGATTGATTACATCATTGGTCTTTGGTGATTGATTGGATTTCCAGCCCCTCTCCCTCCTCTGAATTGGGGTGGAGGGTTCAAACCCTCTAGTCACCTGGTTGGCTCCCCCTGGCAACCAGCCTCCCAGACTTGGGGCCTTTCCAAAGCTCACCTCTTTAAGATTAACTCAGGTGTGGTCAAAGGAATTTGTCGTAAGGTGACATGCCTTTGTGGCTCTGGAGCTATTTCAGAAACCAAGGGCAAAAGACCAACTATTAAGAGATGCTCCTTTGCTCTTATCCCTTAGGAATTCCAGCGGTTTTAGGAGCTCTGTGCCAGAAATGATGAAGATTAAATCTATATTTCTTATTATAAGTCATGGTATGGTAGGGGAGAAGAGGGTAAGGATATAGAAAAGGCAGAGTGCTGTCATTGGATTAAGACCCTGGGGGAGACACGAGGGAATGGAAGCAGAGGTGGAGGGAGAGGGGCAGCGGTTGCTAGAAGAGCCTCTTCTGCTGAGGTGTGGAGGGGGAGGAGTGAGAGCACAGGTAATGCCTGGTGGGAGTGTGAGAGGGGTTAGGGAGCCTGTGCCCCTTGGGCTCTTTCCTGGGACATAATGGGCAATGGCTTCCCGAAGGGATTAGTGGGGGTGAGTCACGTGTCCTCCTAGCCCCCTCCAAGTACCTCCCACTGGATCGTTACCACGTTGACTTCCATCTTTCCCCACTGGACAGTTCACTCCCTGAGCAGGGACAAAGGCTGCTACAGAGTCAGACAGATTGTGCATGTAGCAACCCCCCATTCACACAGCTGTGATGTGAACTGTGTTCCGCAGGATTGAACAGTGCACAGCCTGAACAGCTATATCCTGCGGCCTCAGTAGGAACCTTTATTGCTGGCCTACAGCTTGAAGGCTAGCAACTTACTGGTGCCCAATAAATGTCTCTTGAAAGAAAGAGAGTGGTAAAGATATAGAAAACCCTGAGAAGGAACATGAGAGAGCAAGAGTTTGGGGCAACATTAAAGGCCTGACTCTCAAACTGAGTGTATAGAGATAACTTGGTGGGAGATGAAGCCATTTTGTTCCTACCTGTTAGCCTTCACGTAGAGCAGAGACTGTCCGCTGAGGAGACTTGCAGGGCAGCTGTGGTAAAAGGAGGGACATTTGGGATGGGTAGTGAGTGGGAACTTGACACCATCGTCCTGGAAATCAGGCTTGGTAGGGAGGAAAGAAGGGTCATGCAATTTGGGAGGTTCTGGTGTCTGTTTCCTGAGGGGGTGGGGGTGAGTATTTCCTTTTCCTGATCACCCTTTTCATGCACAGATAGCCTCTGGTGCTACTCAGTTTGTCCTAATAGAAGGGAGTGTGGTGGGCAGACACTAGGCCTCTGCTCCAAGAGCTCCCGTGGTGGGAGGCACCTTCTGTTCTCAGCCCACATGAGTTGAACATAGTTGCAAATGGAAACTTCTACAAAACTTCTACCCCGTAGTACATTGTCCCAAGGGTCTCTGTTTGCCCCCCTCTGATATATGTTCCACCCTCCCCCGCTTTGGTCTGGGCCCTGGGAGGCTGACCTTCACACACCATCGATGGGTTCTCTTGCCCTCCGGCTTCCAGCTGGCTTTTGGCAATGGGATGGAAGGGGTCAGGGGACCAGAAACCTGGAAGAAAGTGGTGTCGGGTTTTATTCCCACAGCCCCGTGCCTGTTGGGCTCCAGAGCTCCAGTCTTCTAACAACTTTCTGGACTCCAGTAACCCCTCTCCTTCCGTCTTCCCCTTCAGACATATGGGTGATTGTTCCCCATGAGAGCCAGCCTGGCATGCTTCTGCGTGCCTTGTTGGCTTCCATGAAGCCTGTCCCTTCCTTTGCAAACTGTCTGCATGCCAACCTATCCTCAGTGACCTCATTTGAATGTGCCATCTCTTTCCCAAGGGACAATCTGGGACAGAAATATATTATTTGTTAAAGGTGCTGGTATATGGAGCAGGGTCAGCAAACTGACCTGGACCCGGTAGTCAAGTTTCACTGGAACACAGCTCTGCCCATTCACTTACCTGTTGTCTCTGGCTGCTTTTGTGTGACAGCAGCAGAGCTGAATAATTGTAGCAGAGACCAAATCACCTGAAAGCCTAAAACGTTTACCATCTGGCCTTCTACAGAATAAGTTTGTCAGGGTGTCTGGGTGGCTCAGTCCGGTTAGGCGTCCGACCCTTGATTTTGGCTCAGGTCAGGATCTCATGGTTTGTGAGGTTGAGCCCCGCATGGGGCTCCACACTGACAGCATAGGGCCTGCTTGGGATTCTCTCTCTCTGCCCCTCCCCCACTCACAAATGCACGTTTTCTCTCTCTCTCAAAATAAATAAACTTTAAAAAAGAAAAAGTTTGTCTACGCTATAGTATAGAGGAAAGAATGAGCTTGGCCAAGTCACTTTACCTCCTCAAGCCTCACCTGTAGAATAATGATAGTTCACAAAGTCGTTTTAAGAACTGAGGTTGGGGGCACCTGGGTGGCTCAGTTGGTGAAGTGTCCAACTCTTGATTTCAGCTCAGGGCATGATCTCACGGTTCATGAGTTCAAGCTCCGTGTCGGGCTCTGCTGACAGTGTGGAGCCTGCTTGGGATCCCCTCTGTCTCTCTCTTTCTCTCTCCCTTTCTTGCTCGCTCTCTCTCAAAAATAAATGAACTTAAAAAAAAAAAAAGAATTGAGGCTATAATTAGTCTCTGTTTTCAGGAGTCGCTGTCATTTGAGGATGTGGCTGTGTACTTCACTAGAGAAGAGTGGGACAAACTTGACTGGGCTCAGAAGGACCTCTACAGAGACATGATGCTGGAGAATTACAGGAACATGATCCTGCTGGGTAATGAATGACTTGGCTTGAAGATTTGGCTCCGAGTGTCTACACAAGTGCTCAGCCCCTTATTTGCAATTCTAAAATCAGAAAAGCTTTGCAAACTAGAAGTTTTTTCATAACTCATCTGGCTGTAAGACCCAACCTGAAGTGTTCAGGTGGTAAAACCTGATCTCTTCTACTGGAAGCTGTGTATCATCCTTCTTTTTCCCATGTGGTCATCACATCTATATATTTAGCATACCAGAAATATCAGCGTGTTTGATTAAGGGTACGGCTCCAACCCCTGTTGGGGGTGGTACATAATAGAAAACATACACACCAAGTCACCTTCCTAAAATCCAGAAAAATTCTGACCTCAAACGCAGCTGGCCTCTACAATGTTTTCAAATAAGGGATTGTGGACAATGAATAGTTGCCTATTGTTTTAGAGGTCAGAGACGCTTAATCCACTCCCCACCCCGATCCGCATCTTCCTTATCTGTAAGACCCATAGGAGCTGAACGGTTTATGGCTGATTTGGATTCCAAAGGTTAGCTTCTTTTTCTCTCGAAAAGTCTTTTTCTTTCTTCCCTCTGGAAATGGGTTCCTTCTTTGTTTGCAGCATCACTGGGTGTCTAGGAAACGATTCCTAACGGACTTCATTTCTGAACCTCCACTGCTTCCCCACTCACGGACCCTGCCTTTGGCTTATTGCAATGCAGAGTCTCCTCCCATGGGCGTTTTCTCAACAAAGCACTTTCTTTCTGGGGTCCAGCTTTCACGCCCACACTGACACTCTTGCTACATACAGTCTTGACCACCTCCTGTGGGATTGTCTGCCCACCTCTGGAGTTTTTGATGTTTATTTTCCTTGTAGAAGCATTTAGAAGAGCAGACTTGAATACACACAAGGTACAGGAACGGGAGAACGTTCAGGGGTAACACTGTTCATATTTTGGAATGTTTCCATCCAGTTTTTCTCTCTCTCTCCTTTTAAAAAATGTAGCTGAACAGAGGTGCCTGAGTGGCTCAGTCGGTTAAGCATCCAACTCTTGGTTTCAGCTCAGGTCATGATCTCCCAGTTTGTGAGTTCCAGCCCTGCATCGTGCTCTGTGCTGACAGCATGGAGCCTGCTTGAGATTCGCTCTCTCTCCCTCTCTCTGCCCCTCCACTACTCGCACTGTGTCCCTGTCACTCTGAAAATAAATAAATAAGCTTTAAAAAAATGTGGCTGAACATATTCTGTGTATAATTTTGTAATTCCTTTAAATCTTAACTAATGTTAAGCTTCAACATTTTCCCTATGTTATTAAAAGCCCCCATAAATACAGTAAATGATCATAATGTAATTCTGTTGTATGATCTGTAATGTTTAATCATTTTCCCATTTGGGGATATTTAGTTTGGCTTCTTGTTGTTGTTGTTGACTTGTTTATGGATTTATCATCTACTATACTTAATGTTCTAATGGATGTTTGTGACCATAAATCCTTATATGAATTTCTGACTGTTCCCAAGATGCAGAATATTGGTGTTAAAGGGTATGGGCTCTTAGTCTCTCTGATTATTGAATGGCCTTTCACTAACAAAGTAGGAAATAAAAATCATCTGCAGGCCTACTGCCCAGAAATTACCCCTGTTAACATGTTGGTTTACTTTTTTCCTAGTCTTTTCATATATATTAATACTTAATGTACATATACCCACACATATAGTTTTTAAAAACAAAATTTGGGTCATACTTCATGAGTTTTGCATTCTCCTTTAAGATATATAGGGAACATTTTCCTATTTTAATATTCTTTGAGCACATGGATTTTTAGGATCTAATACTTTTGCCTTCACTGAATTCACGTTACACTGTAGCTGTTCCCATACTGATGTCTACTTTATTTCCAGTTTTGCGTAAGTACAACTGTGCTGAACATCTCTGGCACATTAATCTTGTCCTGATTGTTCCTTAGGCTGTATCTCTACAATGACCAAATCTAAGGGTGTGAATATTGTTGAGAATTTACTGAATCTTTCAGTAAAGATTGTTGGAGTTTCAGAAAGATTGTGCCAAATTCTCTTCTCACCAGCCCTTTTGATTATTGCTCTTATCTGTTTGCCACTGTAGACTCAAGGGGGTTAAGGTGAGCGCTGGGACCTCTCTCTGTAACTCACTAACCACATCCCATTTACTTCTCCATGAGTAGGATTTCAGTTTCCCAAACCTGAGGTGATCTGCCTGCTGGAGCAGTGGGAAGAGCCATGGATCCTGGATCTACCAAGAACTGGGACTAGGAAGGCTTCCAGTAGTGCTTGCCCAGGTGGGTGAGGAGAGGACCCAGTCCAAGTGGAAAAATCAGGACGGGGCAGGAAAGCACCTTAGTGAAGCCCCTCGTGTGCCCCCCAGATCCTGAGCCACATGTTCAACATCCATTATCCCACTTATTCATCCCTGCTGCCCTCTGAAGGTAGTACGTAAGTGTGGCCATTAGACCCATTTTCCAGATGAAGAATCAAAGATTCAGATGTCACACAGATTGACTTATAGTTTTAAAAACTATATCAATCTGTCACACAGATTGATAGTTGAGGTTCGATTTCAAGCCTGCAAAGCTCATGCTCATTCTACTGCGGTAGAGTGTTTCTCTGAACTCTTTTTCCAAATCAGATACTTCTTTCTTCTATGCTCGTTACTTATCCTTCCCCTCTGTTTTCCTCTCATTCCTTTGCCTTCATCCTGTTTGTCATATCCCCACGGTGTTTCTCAACATACCTACTTTTTCCTACTTACTATGTCCTGATTGCTGCTTCTACCTTTTTTTCACATTCCTGTGTTCCAGAGTTTCTCAGCCTCTGCTCTATTGACATTTGGGGCTAGATCTTTTTTTTTTTTTGGGACAGAGAGAGACAGAGCATCAACGGGGGAGGGGCAGAGAGAGAGGGAGACACAGAATCGGAAACAGGCTCCAGGCTCCGAGCCATCAGCCCAGAGCCTGATGCAGGGCTCGAACTCACGGACCGTGAGATCGTGACCTGGCTGAAATCGGACGCTTAACCGACTGCGCCACCCAGGCGCCCCTTTTTTTAGTTTTTAAAAATGTTTATTTGAGAGAGAGAGAGAGAGCATGACTGAGGGAGGGGCAGAGAGGGAGGGAGACACAGAATCCGAAGCAGGCGTCAGGCTCCGAGCTGTCAACACAGAGCCCGATGTGGGGCTTGAACCCACAGACCACGAGATCATGACCTGAACCGAAGTCAGACACTTAACCAGCTGAGCCACCCAGGCGCCCCAGGTTGGATAATTCTTTGTTGTGGAGGAGCTGTCCTGTGCGTTGTCAGGTGTTGAGCCATATTAGCCTCTACCCATTAGGTTTTAGTAGCACCATCCCAGTTGGGACAACCAGAAATGTCTCCAGACATTGTCCAGTGCCCCCCAGGAGGCAAAATCACCTCTGATCAAGAACCTCTACTCTATTCCATTGGCCTTTGTATCTACTTCCCTCTGGTTCCTTTTCTCTTGTGTCTTATGCTCTCCGTTTTTAAAGAGTTGTTTCTCTCAGAATTATTAAAAAAATACTAACCTAGAAAGTATAAGATGTCACCTGTCCTATATTTATGTGACTTCACTGAGTACCAAGGGTAAGTTTTATTTTTCCAATAGTAGTGATATATTTACTTAGTTCTCGCTTCTCTGACACACACTTGTGCGTTTTTCAGTCGTTCAGTTGATTTTGAGAACTCTTTCTGGTGTCAAAGCCGTGAGTCCTGTGGAAATCAGAATTTGGGCCTCTTTAGCAGGACAATATAACTAAGCAAGCACTTTGTTTCACTTGAGTGTCTTCCACACACACAGGTGGCTTCTTTTTTTTTCCTTCTGTGATGTGGTGGGCAGGTCATTTCTATGTTTTCTTTTTATTTGGTTAGGTTCTGAAGCCAGATGGAAGATGAAAAAGCCAACTCCAGGGCAGAAGATCTTTAAAGATTTAGAGTCGTGTAAGACATCGGCAGTAAAGCAGCAAACAGCCAAGGGATCTTCAGAAAAGTTACGTAAATGTAACGAATTGGTGGACATTTACAGACTTGCCTTTCCCACTATTGGTGATGAATGCAGTAAGAACTTCCTTCAAAACCTTCACCTTATTCAAGATCAGAATGCTCAAACAGGGAGGAGGCGTGGCCATTGTGATGAGTATGGAAAGCCTTTCAGTCAGAGATCACTGTTTTTGCAGCATAAGCAAATCTCTCCAAACGCAAAATCTTACAAATGCAGTGAATGTGGAAGAGTCTTCAGACGTCAGGCAAATTTTGTTCGACATCATAGAATTCACACATCAGAGGACCCCTTTGAATGCGACATATGTGGGCAAGCCTTCAAACAGAAGTCCACTCTTGCTGTCCATAAACAGTGTCACCTGCAGAAAAAGCCATATAAATGTCATGACTGTGGAAAATGTTTCCGTCAGATGGCATATCTTATTGAACATAAGAGGATCCATACCAAAGAAAAACCCTATAAATGTAGTGAGTGTGAAAGAACATTTAGTCAGAATTCAACCCTTATTCGACATCAGCTAATCCATAGTGGAGAAAAACCCCACAAATGTGTCGAGTGTGGAAAAGCCTTTGGTCGGCATTCGACCCTTATGAGCCATCAACAGATTCACACTAAACAGAACACTCATAAATGCAGTGAATGCGGGGAATGCTTCAGTCGGAATGTAGACCTCATTCAGCATCAAAGAACCCATACCAAGGAGGAATTCTTTGAATGTAGAGAATGTGGAAAAACTTTTAGTTTTAAGGCAAATCTTCATCGCCATGAGGTCATTCATACTGGAGAGAGACCTTACAGATGTGAGAAATGTGGAAAATCTTTTATCTGGCGCACAAGCTTTATTAAGCATCAGGGTACTCACAGAGAACAGGTATCTGTGTGATACTAACTGGAAAAAGACCATTTAAAGACCAGAACTGGGACACCTGGCTGGCTGTTGGTGGAGCCTATAACTCTTGATCTCAGGGTTGTGAGTTTGAGCCCCACGTTGGGTGTAGAGATTACTTAAAATCTTAAAAAAAAATAAAATAAATGAAGACAAGAACTTACCACTAGTGTAGTTATGTGTAATTACATTGTTTTAAGACAATTACTAACAGGAACTGAAATGGTTTTGCTTTGGGGGCCCTCTTTCTGCAGCTAACCTTCTTGCTATAGTTAAGAATTACTTAATAGAGGGGCGCCTGGGTGGCTCCGTTGGTTGAGTGACCGACTTCAGCTCAGGTCAGGATCTCACGGTTTGTGAGTTTGAGCTCCGGCTCTGTGCTGACAGCTTGGAGCCTGGAGCTGCTTCAGATTCTGTGTCTCCCTCTCTCTCTGCCCCTCCCCCACTCATGCTCTGTCTTTCTCTGTCTCAGAAATAAATAAGCATTAAAAAAATATTTTTTTAAAAGAATTACTTCATAGAACATGGAATAGGCTGTTATGTACAGTCTCCCTTGAGTCCCTCCCCCGACCATACTTTCATTCCCTCAAGTCAAGGCAGAAGGGAGGCATAAAAACTATGTGGTTCCCTAGGCTGGAGACCATTTGATGATTATGAACGATTTAAGAATGCTCTTCTTATTTCTCAATAAAACTGGAGGAAAAAAAAAAGTTTTTAATTAAAAAAAATGGGTGTAAAGAAATAACTTTCTTGGTTTCATATGGAAAAATTACCTGATATTACATTGGATTTTTAAAAATAAAGTAAGGGCTACTCACCTAAGAATGACTAAAATGTATCCATAAACTAAAATTAGTGTGCCACTAGATTGTACTGAGAGTTCTAAGTCAAGTGTTAACAGAAGCCGTTGGTGCCCTTGCCCCCTGCTTACTCCATCTGCTGGGCTTCATCTGACTTGCACTGTGTGTCTCTTGGTCTGCAGGCTTTTTTTAAAACCACGAAAAGGCCACTGCTCTGTAGGGTAACTAGCACATTTTGAGAGCAGGCCTCGACTAAAGCTTGATGGGAATTTGACAAATATGATATTCTCCCCTGGGGTGGAATAACTCTGAAGCATGTGTTTTACATGGTTTTCAGTTTTCCCATGGGAGGATTATGCATTCATTTACCTTAGAAGCTCCTTATCAGCTGTCTTCCCCAGCTATAGTCCTTGGGGAGCCATACCCTTTCTCCAGTTATTCCAAGCACATCCTTATGTTCAGGTTATGTAAGTTGAGCTGACCTTACAACTCTTCCCTACAGCTCACCAAGACAGGAACCCCATTTGAAATTCTACTATCCTAAACAGCATCCTAGGTCTGCATTACAACTTGCTGCTATTTAGATCCTCTCCTATAAATCCCGTCTAGTTTCTTCTTGATTTTATTTTCTTGCTCCTACCAATTCTATGACTTCTTACCCAACATATAAAAACAAAGATCACTGAGAAAGGAAGTGGCACCTCAGAAAATTAAGGAATGTTAAGCCTTGCAGGAGGAAAATAATGAAAAGGGATAGAATGTATATTGGGTTCCAAAAGCAGTCATTTTGTAGTCAGCATGAATTGGCTAGAAGAACCTACACAAAATTAAGAAGTTGAGACTTCTGACTGAGGGGGAAATAAGCCAGTGGGAGATAAGACCACTTAAAACAACTTTGGGAGATGGGGACCTATGTAAAAGCGCTTCCCTCCACTGCTAAGTGGAAGCCATATAAATCAATACACATACATACATACATACATACACACATAGTGATTAGATACATAGGGGCACCTGGCTGGCTCAGTTGGTGGAGCATGCAACTCCTGATCTCGGGGTTTAAGTTTAAGCCCCACGTTGGATGTAGAGATTACTTAAAATCTTTAAAGCAAACGTCCTGATGGCAGCTCTCAGTTGTATGGATGAGAACTGAACTGGAGGTCAGTAATCTGGTGTGGGGAGACTGTTACAGGCAGGACACTTGGCTATATGAAGACCTAGATGCATGCCGTAAAGGTTATTCTTGGGCTGTGGCCAACGGCTAAGACATATAGTCTGGCAAGTGGACCTTGGACAATTAAAAATAAAGTGGGGAGCCCAATTATGATAAGCCCTTTGCTTTCCAGAATAATCCAGGGTGGTTCTGAAGGTAACATATTCTAGGCGGACCATTTGAAATGAAAGTGTGGATATGTGGGCATCCAAGGTAAGTGGCCATGGAGGCTCCCAAGCCATGCTGTCAAATCATCCCACATTCCATTGTGACACCTGCTGGGGCACCAATGGTTGTCAGAGAGTGTTTAGAACCTGCCAGGTTAGCACAGTGGGAAGTGGGCTCATCCCACTGCATGTGCCTGGTAGATTGCCCTGCCCCACGTCCCTTCCTGGAACCGCAGATGCCTCACAACCTCTGGTCCCTCACTCTCTGGTGGGGTTAGTGAGAGGGCCCAGCCATGTGCTGCTGCGGTTCCCACCCTGAGCCCCAGGAACTTCCCTTTTAACTCTATGCCACTGCCCTAGAGACCTCTGAGTCCCAAGCAGGGCACAGGACCTTCCAGAACAGAACTTGGAAATGTTTCAAAGACATGCTAAAGCAATAGATTTAAACGACCATATCACTCTCTCTTCTAGCTCCAGTCAGGAATTCTAACACTTTGTTAACAAATATCTGGACTTCCCATTTTGTAGGACAGGAGATGCTATGTAGGTGCTATGGGAGAATATGAAGAATGGAAAGATTGTTGCCCTCTGTTATGGACTGAATTGTGCCCCCCAAATTCATACGTTGAAGTCCTAACCCCTGGTGTGACTGTATTTGGAAACAGGGCCTTTAAAGAGGTAATTGAGGTTAAATGAGGTGCTAATTGTGGGGCGTTCAGTGATAAGACTGGTGTCCTTTTAAGAGGAAGAGATACTAGAGGCCTCTCCATCCACTGCACAGAGGAAAGGCCATGTGAGGACATAGTGAGAAGGAGGCTGTCTACAGGTCAGGAAGGGGCATCAACAGAAACCAACCCTGAGGGCACCTTAACCTTGGATGTCCTGCCTCTAGAACTGTGTGAAAATAAATGTGTTATTTAAGCCACCTAGTCTGTGGTCTTTTGTTTTGGCACGAGAGCTAATCCACTCACCCTTTATAATCTAGGGTTCAGAGATGGCGTATTCACGTTAACTTACTGGCTATGATAGTTTGCATGGTAAGTGACAAAGCCTACAGATAATGGTAGTTTAGTAAAGGAAATATTTTGGGGTAGGATAATTGAGAAGTGACATTTTAAAATTGTTTTACAAGAGTCGACTTTTCCGTTGTTAATCTGGTGGGCTAGGGTCTGGGAAAAGGGATCTGGGATTAAAAGCATCTTGAACAAAGGCATGCATATATGTGGAAATATATGGAAAATTCAAGTAGTATGTAAGCAACAGTCAATGTGTCGAGAGGGTAGAAGAAGGGAAGAATGGAGGGAAAGCTAAAAGTACACAGAGGACAGTCAGCTCTAAGTCTGTGGTGTTCCTGGGGTGCCTGGGTGGCTCAGTCAGTTAAGCACTGGACCCTTGAATTTGGCTCAGGTCATGATCCCGAAGTTGTGGGCTCCACGCTTAAGATTTTTCTCCCCCTCTCCCTCTGCCCCTTCCCTGCTTACACGCCTTCCCTCTCTCTCTCTCAAAAAAAAAAAAAAAAAAAAAAAAGTCTGTGGCGTTCCTCCAGTATAAAGAACACTGGAATCAGGCTATCACTACTACTCTATTGTGATCCTGGGCAAATAACCTTGATAGGCTTGGGGAGAACAACACCAGGGTGATACAGCTCATGGCCCGCCTAAACAGACACCATGTCCACGCCCTCATTCTCAGCCCCAGTGCTAGATACGAAATCTCATTCATAAGTGACATTCTCCACATGACACACCAGACCCTGAACACACCCAGGCCAGCCTTCTCGCCATCCCTCCTGCCTGGCCATGCGCTACTATTCCACCAGGTCCAGGATCAAGCAAGGGAGTTCTGAGAAGAAAATGACTTAGTTTTGGGTTTTGTACATTTAGGAAAAAAAAAAAAAAAAAAAACTAAGATGCAGTAAGGTGACAAGGCTCAAGTAGAAGACTCATAAAGGAATGTAATTTGGTACTTGCTTTGGGGGAATGTGTATTAGCTCACACACTGACCAAGAAATTCTACTTTTGGGAATCTAGGCTTAGATTCTGAAGAACAATCAAGGGGGCGCCTGGGTGGCGCAGTCAGTTAGGCGTCCAACACTTGATTTTGGATCAGGTCCCGATCCCAGATCCTAGCATCATGGTATCAAGCCCCCGTGTAAGGTTCCACGGTCAGCATGGAGCCTGCTTAAGATTCTCTCTCTCTGGGAATGCAAACTGGTGCAGCCACTCTGTATACAGTGTGGAGGTTCCTCAAAAAACTAAAAATAGAACTACCCTACGACCCAGCAATCGTACTACTAGGTATTTATCCAAGGGATACAGGTGTGCTGTTTCGAAGGGACACATGCACCCCGATGTTTATAGCAGCACTATCAACAATAGCCAAAGGACGGGAAGAGCCCAAATGTCCATTGATGGATGAATGGATAAAGATGTGGTCTATATATACAAAGGAGTATTACTCGGCAATCAAAAAAGAATGAAATCTTGCCATTTGCTACTATGTGGATGGAACTGGAGGGTATTGTGCTAAGTGAAATTAGAGAAAGATAAAAATCATATGACTTTACTCATATGAGGACTTTAAGAGACAAAACATGAACACAAAGGAAGGGAAGCAAAAATAATAAAAACAGGGAGGGGGACAAAAACATGAGACTTAAATATGGGGAACAAACAGAGGGTTACTGGAGGGGTTGTGGGAGGGAGGATGGGCTAAATGGGTAAGGGGCATTAAGGAATCTACTCCTGAAATCGTTGTTGCACTATATGCTAACTAACTTGGATGTAAATTAAAAAAATTAAAAAAAAAAAAAAAAAGAAAATGAAAAGTAATAGCCCCTTCCTTTTTAAAAAAATTTTTTTTCAACATTTATTTATTTATTTGGGACAGAGAGAGACAGAGCATGAACGGGGGAGGGGCAGAGAGAGAGGGAGACACAGAATCGGAAACAGGCTCCAGGCTCTGAGCCATCAGCCCAGAGCCTGACGCGGGGCTCAAACTCACGGACCACGAGATCGTGACCTGGCTGAAGTCGGACGCTTAACCGACTGCGCCACCCAGGCGCCCCAATAGCCCCTTCCTAACCATTCCCAGATATCTCACTGAAGAACTCAATATGCTCTGAAAATAATTATTTTTCAAATGGGAGTCTTTCTAAATAGAAAAGACTGGAAATAATTAGTTTAGCGGATATAATGCTTGGACTGACGGTTACCTGTTTGAGCCACACATTTGTTGTCATCAGTTGATTCTTTTCATCCTAGGAAAATGACAATTAGAAAGATGTAAATTCAAATTAAGTGAAGTTTTTGAGATTTTTTTTTTTTTGTCAGAAAGACCTCCCTGAGTCTTACATTTGAGGTGTTCAAAGTGTAAAGGATTCTCAACTTAAAAACAGTTAAATGGCATGGGATCCTAAAATATTATGCACATTTTGCATAAAATAAAAAATAATAATTAAAGCAACAAAAAAAAAAGATTCTCTCTCTCCCCCTGCTTCTCTCCCCCATTGGACTATCCCTCTGTAAAAAAAAATAATAATAATAAAAATAAGTAAATAAATTGATTAATTAAAAAAATAAAGAACAATCCAAATTATGTTAAAATTACACTGATATTCACTACAGCATTGCTTGCAACAACAAAAAGGAGTAATGGCTGAAATGACCAGTAAAAGGAAAATGGGACACAATTATCAAATCTACTCAATGGATAATGATGCAGCCATTAAGCATAAAGGTTATGAAAACCACGTAAAACCCTTAAGACATAATATTAAAAAGATGTAAAATATAAACACTATGGTTTTCATTACATGAGAAGCATGCAGAGAAAAAAAAAAACAGAAGGAAATACAACAAAATGCCTATAACAGGTGATCAGGGTTGTAGGATTATGGGTAATTTCTTTTCCTGTTATTTTTCCAAATATCCAATAGTATGCTTATATTCCCTCGATTTAAAAAAAAAAAAACAACCCCGCGGGGAGGTGTCTGGGTGGCTCAGTCAGTTAAGCGCCTGACTTTGGCTTGGGTCATGAACTCATAGTTCGTGGGTTTGAGTCCCTCATTGGGCTCTGTGCTGACAGCTCAGAGCCTGCAGCCTGCTTTGGATTCTGTGTCCCCCTCTCTGCCACTCCCTGGCTCATGCTCTCTCTCTCTCCCTCTCAAAAATAAACATTACAATAAAACAAACAAACAAACAAACAAAAAACCGCAGGGGCACCTGGCTGGTTCAGTCAATAGAGCATGTGACTTTTGATCTCAGTCTTTGAGTTCGAGCCTCATGTTGGGTGTAGAGATGACTTAAATAAATAAAACTTTAAAAATAAAATAAAAATAAAAAATAAATTAAAAAACACACAAAAAAACCCAACCAGGTTAAAAAAAAACTTACATGCAATACATGTTTGTGTGTAGAAAGATAAGATAGGCTCAGGCTTAGTTTCATTCCTACAGTTTAACCCAACAAGGGCAAAAAAGCAAACCCCATAGCCTTCCCTCACCAGGCACAGGGGTGGAAAGACGGCGCTGGGAAGTTAAATAATGATCGTTTTAACCCCATTTCTGAGCTAGTGTTTCTTATCTTGAGGCGTGTGCATGCGCCACTGGCCCTCCACCACTACTACTGGGCAGAGGGGAGGAGGGGCAGGGAGAAGCGGCAAGCCATGGTGGGGTGGGAGCCCATCACTGATGTAAAGGAAAAAACTCACGTTACTGGACAAGCAGTCAGATCACCCAAGTTCTAAAGCATCAACTGTGAGCCTCCACTTCCTTTCTACCTGGGAATGACAAGGTAGCTTACCTTGTCCACTTTACCTCAGTAGGATTGTCAAATGGAAATGGAAGTAGGAAGTCAAATGGAAAATGTCTATGGATGCATTTTATGGATGATAGAGTATTACATGTCAGTGAATACCCATTAACAAAACAAGCAAGAGCTGAAGGAGCTTCTTTCTGCCTTTGGTGTCCTCTTCTGGAACACCCCCAAGGATGCACTCCACACCACTTCCTTATGTCCCATACGTTAGGAAGCCTTGACAGGGGTGGCTGGGTGGCTCAGTTGGTTAAGCATCTGATCTTTGGCTCAGGTCATGATCTTGCAGTTCACAAGTTCGAGCCCTGCTTCTGGCTCTGTGCTGACAGTTCAGAGCCTGGAGGCTTCTTTGGATTCTGTGTCTCCCTCTCTCTCTGCCCCTCTCCCTCTCCGTCTCTCTCTTTCTATTTCTCGTAAATATAAAGAAAAGAAAGAAAGGAAGGAAGGAAGGAAGGAAGGAAGGAAGGAAGGAAGGAAGGAAGGAAGGAAAAGAAAGAAAGAAAGAAAGAAAGAAAGAAAGAAAGAAAGAAAGAAAGAAAGAAAGAAAGAAAGAAGAAAGAAGCCTTGACAGAAAAAACATGTTTTAGGTTATTTGATATCACAAGAGCCTCCCTCCCTCTCCCCTACACAAAGCTTACCAAAAGGTTTAATGCGGACTTTCATCAAAAACCAAAAGTTCTCAAATAAAGTGCCCTTAATTTAATAAGCTTAGAAAAGGATACAATGATGGGAATTTGTAGGTGTATTTGGGTGGCGTTTCCCTTTGCCTCTCTTTTGAAAAGAAATCAACAAGACTTATAAAATTGAACCCCTAGAATGGGGAAGAAAGAGAAACTCTGCAAAGTTCATTTTTAAAAAAGCAAAAAATATAGAGTGTGTCTTGTATGTACCAAACTTTACACGGTGTTTTGGATCATCATGTATTTGAAATCCTGTCCACCATCAAAGCAGAAAGACAATTCTAAGTGTCACAAATATTTCTCAGGGCAGTGAGTGGAGTGGGCAAGATTTGGTCTGAAAGCAGAGGTAAGAAAAGAGAAGAGACCAGGACAGAACTGTTACAAGTGAGCCCTTGATGTCGTCGGGAGGCCCTTCCATGGGACCCCCTCATCCTTTGGAAGGGCTCTCCGCTTACACATTCCTGCTTCACAGTGATGTTCAGAGTAGGTACTGAGACCTACTGACTGATCTATCTTGGGTGTGATGCCCGTGGAAATACGATCCACAAATGACTGACATACTCCAAATGCCAAAGAATGTCGTTTCTGGACAACAGAAAACACACACACACACACACAAACACACACACCAAAACAGCCCAAGCAGCAGCCATGTCAAAACGGTGGGACTTTATTTCTATGGATCCTTTGGTGTCGGATAAGGTGTGGACTCTGTCTAAAGCTTTCCCCGCATTCAAGACATTTGTAAGGTTTTTCCCCAGTGTGAGTCCTCTGGTGCGTAATGAGGGTTGCACTCTGGCTGAAGCGTTTCCCACACACAGAACACCCATACGGCTTCTCCCCAGTGTGGACCCTCTGGTGTTTAGAGAGGTCTGAGCACCGTTTGAAGCTCTTCTCACACTCCTCACACGTGTAGGGTCTCTCCCCTTTGTGAATTCTCTGATGTCTAAAACGGTTGGAAATACGGCAGGTCTCCCCGCATTCGTGACACTCGAAGTGTTTCTCTCCTATGTGGATCCTCTGGTGCCGGGTGAGATGGGAGCTCTGCCGGAAGCTGTCCCCACACTTAGGGCAGGTGTAGGGCTTTTCACCCGTGTGTGTCCTCTGGTGTTTGATCAGGGCAGCGCTCTGACTGAAGCGCTTCCCGCACTCTTGGCATTGGTAGGGTTTCTCCCCCGTGTGGATTCTCTGGTGTTTAAAAAGATCAGAACGCTGTTTGAAACTCTTCTCACAGTTCCCGCATTTATACGGCCTTTCTTCACGGAGCTGTCGCTGGGTCTTAAAGAGGTCTGCACTGTGGAGCTGTTCCTCGCTGTCAAAGGAGCGGGGAGGTTTCACTGTGTGATGCTTTACCGGCTCTGAACTCTGTGTACAACTGTCCCCCAGGTCATTGTGGTCAACGGGCCTCCCTGTGGCCTGCACGTGCTGACAAAGAACAGAGTTTGAACTTCTGGCCCTGTTCCCAAGTTGGCCATGTCTGAAGTCTCCCTCCTCCGTGGGACCATTCTTGAGATCTGCGGTGCGGGGGAGTCCTTCCTCTTCAGGAGAATTTTCCAGTTTCAATGATGAGGGATTTCTTGACTGCTTTTCTACCCCTATCTCACCAGTGTCACTACATCCAGGGGGAGCCTTCCTGTGGGACCCTTCTTGTAGCTGCCCCTGCGGCTCTACTTCTTCTAAAATTTCTTGTTTTGGAATAAAGTCTTTGTTCTCCGTTCTGGTTTCCAAACCTGAAACATTCAAAAATAAAAAGAAGGAGGCAAACCGTAAGAGACTCTTTTTATATATATAATTTATTGTCAGATTGGTTTCCATACAACACCCAGTGCTCATCCCAACAGGTGCCCTCCTCTATGCTCATCACCCACTTTCCCCTCCCCCCCACCCCCATCAATCGTCAGTTTGTTCTCAGTATTTAAGAGTCTTCTATGGTTTGCCTCCTTCCCTCTCTGTAATTTTTTCCCCCTTCCCCTCCCCCCTAGTCTTCTGTTAAGTTTCTCAGGATCCACATATGAGTGAAAACATACAGTATCTGTCCTTCTCCGCCTGACTTATTTCACTTAGCATAACACTCTCCAGTTCCAGCCATGTTGCTACAAATGGCCAGATTTCATTCTTTCTCATTGCCAAGTAGTATTCCATTGTATATATAAACCACATCTTCTTTATCCATTCGTCAGTTGATGGACATTTAGACTCTCTCCATAATTTGGCTATTGTTGAAAGTGCTGCTATAAACATTGGAGTACCAGTGCCCCTATGCATCAGCACCCCTGTATCCCTTGGGTAAATTCCTAGCAGTGCTATTGCTGGTCATAGGGTAGATCTATTTTTAATTTTTTGAGGAACCTCCACCCTGTTTTCCAGAGCGGCTGCACCAGTTTGCATTCCCACCAACAATGCAAGAGGGTTCCCGTTTCTCCACATCTTCGAAGAGACTCTTAAATAGATAGCAAACTGAGGGTAGCTTGAGGGGAGGTGAGTGGGGGGATGGGCTAAATGGGGGATGGGCATTAAGGAGGGCACTTGTTATGATGAGCACTGGGTGTCATATGTAAGGGATGAATCACTAAATTCTACTCCTGAAACCGTTTTTACGCTATATGTTAAAGAACTTGAATTTAAATACAATAAAAAAAAAAAGAAAAGAAAGAAAAAAGGGTGACATTTCATGCTGGTGCAAGAGTAAAATAAGCAAGTGCCTGCAAAAAAATAAGCACCCTCCCAAACCTTTTTAACATTCTCAATGAACCACTCCTCAAGATAAATGATTTTATTTTTTTTAATTGTAATGTTTATTTTTGAGAGAGGGAGAAAGACAGAGCGAGAGCAGGGAGAGACAGAGAGAGAGGGAGACACAGAATCTGAAACAGGCTCCAGGCTCTGAGCTGTCAGCAGAAAGCCTGACGTGGGGCTCGAACTCACAGACCGCGAGATCATGACCTGAGCCGAAGCCAGACCCTTAACCAACTGAGCCACCCAGGAGCCCTTCAAGTTAAATGATTTTAATTAACCTGCCAAATGTACTCATATTTACCTGTACAAACCCCATTCTTTCCTTTTACACTTGTGCCTATACCCACACACCCATCTCTTTCCCCCTGCCCCACTCCAGCATTGCAGAAGACACAATATCAGGAAGGGGTGTCAAGAAGGGCACGACAGCCTGTACCCCATGAATGGAGGATGGTTTAACAAGAGAAATTGTATTCATGTGATAGGTTATAGTAACAGACACACCCCATGCCTCCAATGTCTGGAGGTGGGGTCTGGGTGGGAGACAAATCTAGGACTGACTGCAAGTCTTTATATAAAGGAGCAGGTAAGCCACCAGATTCCACCCCAAATCCAGAATTTTTGCAGTTTACTCCCCAGGGAGACTGAACCACATAAATTCTGGACTGGGGACACCAGGTACAGCTGAGAACAGGGGACAGGGACCACTTTCACATCAGGAGAATCAAGTGAAAACAGACACACAATTGGTAGAACCTCAGTGCTGTTCTCTGCTCACGTCCCAAACCATGAGCTCCAAGAAAGGGCGGGGATTTTTGTGACAGGGGATTCATAGGTTTTGTTCCCTAATGCGTCCCCAGCACTTAGAAGAGCACCTGGCGGGGGTGCCTGGGTGGCTCAGTCAGTTAAGCGTCTGACTTCAGCTCAGGTCATGATCTCTCAGTTCGTGAGTTTGAGCCCTGCATCGGGTTCTGTGCTGTCAGCAGAAAGCCTTCTTCAGATCCTCTGTCCTCCCCTCTCTCTACCCTTCCCCCACTCAGGCTCTCCCTCTCTCTCAAAAATGAATAAACATTAAAAGAAAAAAAAAGAACAGCATCTGGCTTATTGCAGACAATAAAAATATTTGTTGAATAAATCTCTCTATGGTAAAATTTGCAAGCCCAGGCCTGACATATGGAAATTCCCCCAAACAGCACCTGATAGCCAAGGCAATCTTGAGAAAGAACAAAGCCAGAGGTATCACAATACCAGTTTCAAGATATACTACAGGGATGCCTGGCAGGCTCAGTTGGTGGAGCATGCAACTCTTAATCTTGGGGCTATTAATGGGTGCAAAGATCACTTAAAAATAAAATTTTAAAAAGAAAAAAAGATCTACTACAAATCTGTAGTAATCAAAATAGTATGGTACAGGAATAAAAATAGACGCAGATCAATGTAACAGAATAGACAGCCCAGAAATAAGCCCACGATTATATGGTCAATCAATGACAAAGGAGGCAAGAATATACAACAGGGAAAATACAGTCTTTTCAATAAACTATGTTGGAAAAACTGGATAGCTACATGTAAAAGAATGAAACCAGATCACTTTTTAACACCATACACAAAAATAAACTGAAAATGGATTAGAAACCTAAATGTGAGACCTGAAACCATAAAACTCCTAGAAGAGAGCATAGGCAGTAATTTCTCTGACGTCAGCTATTTTCTACATATGTCTCCTAAGGCAAAAGAAACAAAAGCAAAAATAAGATATTGGGACTACATCAAAATAAAAAAAAAAAACGTTTGCAGGGGGCATGTGGCTGGCTCAGTTGGCGGAGCATGTGACTCTTGATCTCAGGGTTGTGGGTTCGAGCCCCATGATGGGTGTAGAGTCTAGCTAAAAATA